TGTTTAAAGTCTCTTTGAATTCTCCCGGTTTCACTCATATTGGTTTCTCAATTTGAAACTTGGTACGCGAAGTACCCGAAAATTTAGGATTTTGGAATAAAATAAGTTTTGGTGTTGAATTAATTTAAAATGTGACTAAAATAATTTATTCAAACACCAATTGATCGCAAAAAATTTTGATGGAGTGAAAATGGCTATTTTGGAATTTCTTAAAATTAGATTTATAAAAATAAAATTTTGGGTTGTTACACATTTTGTCATAAAGGATCTTCAAAGTGGGATGGCGTTGTTACGGGGGGCGAACGTCAATGGTGTGTACTACAATACTCTCTCTTATGAGCTCAAATGAATGCCACGCACCTGACATCTGTGTATAAATGGCACCACCGGCTGGGACATCCGTCAAACAACGTGTTACAACTTGTGTTGCAACACTGAAAAATTCTAGTTTCTGCCGCCTCTCTACGCCAGTTTCGCTGTTGGTCTTGCAGTGTACACAAGAGTCACAAGTTGCCGTTTTCCAAGAGCACTCTCGTTAGCACAAAACTCTTACAATTACTTTACACTGATGTATGGGGAACGACGGACAAGTATGTTGATGGTTTTCTTTATTATGTTGTCTTTGTTGATCACTTTTCTAAATATGTCGGGTTGTATCCCTTAAAGCACAAGTCAGATGTGTTTACCATATTTCTTCAGTTCAAAAGGTTAGTCGAGAAGTTTTTTGGGTTGCACATTGTCTCCATTTACTCAGACAATGAGGGTGAGTTCATCAAACTAGTTGCTTTGTTTAATGCCCATGGTATTTCACACTTCACCGCCCCCACCTCGCACTCCCGAGTACAATGGGTTGGCTGAACGACGACACCAGCATATCGTCGAAACAGGTATGTCACTCCTTCATTCTGCTTCCTTGTCAACCTCGTACTGGTCATATGCCTTTCTCACAGCCGTATATCTCATAAACCGGTTACCAACACCGATGTTAGGTAATCAATCTCCCTTTCAGGTTCTGTTTAATCAGTCCCCTACTTATAGTAAACTACAACCGTTTGACTGGTTACGTTTTCCATGGTTGAGGTCCTATAACACCAAGAAATTAGAGCCGAAGTCTCGGCCTAGTGTTTTCCTTGAGTACTCCAACTCACAATCGGGTTATAAATGTTTGGATCTCACTTCTAGTCTTATTTTTATATCTAGGCATGTTCGATTTGTTCCTCATGTAGTGTTTCCTTATAGGGATTTGCAGCAGGCGTCTGTCACACCACTCTCTGATTCGCAGGGCTCAAAGATGAGCAATATTTTGTTAAGGTCGTCTTCTGTGTCCACCCAGCCCGGAGTTGTTCCTACAGCCACTCCGACTCCTGCTCCGACTTCCGTTTCTTCCTAGGCTGGGTCGCTCTCTGACGTAGCCGACTACCCGCAACCTGCAACGATGGGTGTTCCAACTCATGTTCTAACACAGTCAGGCGGAAATAGTTTGGATATCCCTACTGGTTCACCTTCGACTGCGTCCAGTTCGTCACCCCCTCGTTGTTCGTCACCCGCTGTTCCAGAACATTGCCATCATACGAGCCAGTCTGAGTCCTTGCCCGTCACCACCTCCGAAGGTTCCCAAACGCAAAATAATTTGCGTCGGTCTACCCGAGAGCGTCGTCCCAATCCCAGGTATTCTGACTATGTCATTAACCATGTCACCTCACATCCCTTGCCTCCCACTTTAGAACCATCTACCGTCGCCAGGCTCTTAAGCACGCTAGGTGGAGGAAAGCAATGGATGGGGAGTACGACGCTCTTCTTCGCAATAAAACGTGGTGTCTTGTGGGGGCGTGTCAAGAATATATGTGGTTGATGTTTTCTGTTTATACTTATTCAAATTGTATTCCTTTAGAATAGGTATATTAGAGAAGTTGTTACAACTTCTTGGCTACTTACTCTCCTGTGTATACTATTTATACCTGTTAGCTTTTACATCAATATACAACAGTTCATTTCCTTACAAATAATAATAATATATACACAAACTTGTTCTTAACCTGCTAAAAATGCTAATTGCACTTTTTTACAGTTTTATGGATGAATTTAGAGTTTATTCGTGTTAAGTGATTTAATTGCTATCTCCTAAATAGTTCAAATAGTTCAATGGTCTTTTTTTTTTTTTTTTGAAAGTTACTGGCTCTATTACATTGTAGTATCTGTTCATATACTTTCTCAACCTACTGTAGTATCTGTTCATATACTTTCTCAACCTACTGAAACACAAAGAACCAATAACGCCTCCACTGAGGCTCGAACTCATAATCTTCCAAATGGAAGTCCAACCCGGGTACCATTGGACCACATAGTCCTGGTAAATAGTTCAATGGTCTATTTGTACCTTTTTCCCCTTTTTTTAATACTCCCAGAAAATAGTTTTCTACTTGAAAAATAGCATCACAGTACATTACCGGTATGTTTTTTTTTTTTTTTAGCTAAAAGAATAAATTCTACTAACTAATAGATGTCTACATACATACATAAAAAGGAATAATAATAATAATAATAATAATAATAAAAAAAACCGTGGGCGACAGGGCCCGCCAACTCGCGTGTGGTGGACTAGGGTCACATGAACTCTAGCCCGCGGGCCGTCTGGCGAGAAATTAGGTTCGTGGTGGGATGGGTCAACCCACTTTGAGAGACCTAGCTTACCAGTTTAAATCAAAAAGACAAATAAATCTTTCTTGCTAGAAGTCAAACTTGTATTTTTGTGATTACTAAATCAACACTCAAACCAACTTAATTAGGTTGCTCACTTGCCCCCATTATCCATTAATTTTTCACTTCACCGGATGGTGGACCTTTTCATACATTTATTGAAGTGGAGGATAAAAGTCTATACATATGAATAATCCGGATAAGAAGAGAATCAAGTTTTCTACGTGAAATGTAAATTAAGGGTGTGTTTGGAAGTCAAAAAAAATTAATTATGGGAAATGAGTTATTTTCCAAAAAATATTTTCATTTCTCGTGTTTGGTTGAATTACATAAAAATGTCTTTTTGTGTTTGGTTCATTTTCGAGAAAATAAGCAGAATTGTATAATTAAAATTTTAATTATTCTTAACTAACAAAGATTTGACAACAACTATATTTTCCAGTTATTTTTTTCAAATAACAAACAAGCAAAAAAAGAGTACTGGTTTCTGACAGAAACCAGTACAAACCAGTAGAAACTAAATTGGTTTCCGTCGAAAACCTGACTGGTTTCCATCCAGGCTAGTTTCTGGTGAAAACCAATCTAGTTTCTACTGATTTTCGACAACACCAGTCTAGTTTGGACTGGTTCCCAGCGAAAACCAGTCAAGTTAGAAAACGAAGGATGGCAGAAGAAAGCCGATGAAGCATTATCTGAAGAAAGTCAGGAAGCATTTTCAGAAGAAGCCAGGAAAAAGAAACAGTTGGATGCGAAAAATTACTTCCCTAAAAAAAAAAAAAGGGAAGTCATTCATTTTCCAGAAAAACAAAGCTATTAACCCTCTTACCGGAAATCAGTTTTCACCTTTTTCCAAACACTGTGAACTCGAAAAATGATTTTCAAAAATTATTTTTCGAGTTTCCAAACACACCGTAATTTGAATCATCTATCTTGAGTGATCTATGACTAAAAAATAAGGCAAAAAAAAAAGAGAAAGAAATAGACGAGTCAACTTTATAAATATACAAACTTTCAAAGTTTATACATTTATGAAATTGACCCTTTCTTTTTTTTTTTTTCAAAGAGATAAATTATAGGAGGGGAGTCTAGCATTACTCTTTTATTATATATATATATATATATATATATATATATATATATATATATATATATATATATTGTTTTTGGATGTGTGCAATTACTTAATTTTCTATTTTATTTCTCTAATTTTTATTTCTAGAGTGTTTCATTCTCCCATCCCTTTTTTTTTTCCTCAAATTTTCTATTTCTAAAAAATCATTTTAATAAGTACAACCTTGATAATTCAGTCAAAAGAGTCAATCATTCAATTAATTTCAAATATTTAACTAAAAAAGGAAGAACAATAATCTTAAATGGTGAAATTAATGATCAAACAAAAATAGACACATATATACAAACATGTCTTGGCAAATATTACATCGTTCATGAACAGACTTCACTTTCGCAACACAAACATTATAGTCAAACAGTACTTATAATTCCAATAAAAGAGCTTTTTTACGCAACTAACTTAAGCCGGCTACACAATAAGTTGTGGTACAATAGGTATTGCTTCGATCTAGTCCACACAGCTATGTAGACCATGATCAAAAAATTAACGTCATTTTGTTCAATTTTATTTTTTTGCGCGTCCAGATACAACATAAATTTTTATAATTCATAATGTACTTTATTCTAAAACATAATGTATATTATTCTAAAGTATAATGAACATTATATTATTTCAAATGTTCCATTATTCTAACATATAATGTATATTATTCTAACACGTAATTACTGCTGGAAATTATGGAATTTTCGACCACCTGAAAGTGATCTAAATCAAGTTGAAAGCAAAAAGTGGTCGGAAATAGCAATAGAGGTTTTTCCAAATATCAAAAGTGATCGAAACAAGACTTCCGACTTGATTTAAGATTACTTTGAGGTGGTCGAAAATTTCATAATTTCCAGTAATGAATATACATTATTCTAACACATAATATACATTATTTTTACTCATAATATTCACGACAATATTTTTAGACCGTGCTCCACATACCTGTAATTTGCCGTTGTTGTCCCAGTAGGCCAGTACTCCCCAAGTGCAATTTCCACGTTGTTTTTTACTATTGGATTATTGGTGGGAGTAGGTGTATCTTTGTGTCGCGAGTACGTGGAGACTTTTTCCTGTTTTAGCCTTTAGGCATGTGCTCAAGTATTGTACACGTTATATATTGGATCATTTGTTCTGGTCCCAGGCCAGCGCATATAATAAACTTCCATATAAACTAATAACATACATTAATATTTTTTCAAATTCCAAACACAACTTGAATTCCCTTCCGACACTGCATCTTTGAGAAAAACCAATCTTCAAAGTTACACCAACTTCAGATCCACACTCCACGCAAGCCACATTAAAGGAAAAGTATAACTCAAACACTTAGAAAAGGGAAGATCACAGACCAAACTGCAGCAAAAAGTCGGCATTTCCTTCTTTCAAAAAAATAATACTTCTCCGACACTTTCATATCTAAGGACTAAGGTTCATCTGCTTTGAAGACTTCTGAGTTCTGAGGGAGATCAATATAATGGGCACTTTGGGGGCTTCTCTCTTGCTTCCAACAAAGCCATTAATAATAGCTCCTGAGAAGAAAGGATCTCAGTTTGTGTTCAGAGAAAGATCGAGCAAGAATCGCTCATTTATCCCTGTAAATTTCTTCTTCTTGTGTTTTTAATGAAATACTGTTATGGGTTTGTGGAAGAAATGGGTATAATTTCTTCTTCTTTTTTTTTTTTTTTTTTTTTTTTTTGTGGTTTGGGTTGATGTTTAGGTGGCAAGGCTGTTTGGGCCATCAATATTTGAAGCATCAAAGCTGAAGGTTTTGTTTCTGGGAGTTGACGAGGAGAAGCACCCTGGGAAGCTCCCAAGAACTTACACTCTTACACACAGTGATATCACCTCTAAGATCACTCTGGCCATCTCTCAAACCATTAACAGTTCCCAGGTAATCTAATCACTCCCATACTTCACTTCATATAGCGGATATTTGTTGGGCAGAGGCCGGTAAAAAGTCAAGTCAAATAATCGGTGGTTAAGGAGATTGTTGGATCGAGGCTGGTGAAGGATCAAGTCCAACCTCCTGTCTCTCGAAAATGTGATAGTTAGGGGATTGTTGGGCTGAGGTTGATGAACGGCCAAATTCAACACCCTAACTCTCGAGAAATGTGGTCGTTAAGCCTGCTAAGAGATTATTGGGCTGAGGCTGATAAATGGCCAAATTCAGTATCCTAACCCTAGGAAATGTGATCGCTAGGCGATTATTGTGTAAAACTAGTGAAGAGCTAAGTCTAGCATCTTTCTTTCGAAAATGTGGTGAGAGTATATAAGAAAATAAAATTACACCTTCGCTTTGAACTATAACTTTTGGTGTAGTGGCAAGTGTTTGATCCTAATAACAATATCTCTTCTTTAACATTCTTTGTTTGCAGTTGCAGGGATGGTATAATAGGCTGCAGAGAGATGAAGTGGTCGCAGAGTGGAAGAAAGTGAAAGGGAAAATGTCACTTCATGTTCATTGCCACATCAGTGGAGGCCATTTCTTGCTTAACTTGTGCGCTAAACTTCGATTCTACATCTTCTGCAAAGAACTCCCTGTGGTAATATAAGTTTCTCAGTATATATATATTTTTTGTAATATTTAATTTAGTGCTAGTATCCAAAAAATATATATATTGAAAAATCACTTGAAAGGTACTATTACATATAAAAGATGAATTTAGCAATAATAAGAATATTTATATATTACACATTATAAATCATAAATTAATTTGTAATATGAATTTCATAATTTAATATCAATCATAAACTAATTAACACACATGTAAATATATATAATCCATAATTCACAATTTTACAATTAGATAATTAATTAGTTATGAATAAATTTTACATATAAATTAAATCTCATAAAATATCATAAATTCCAAAAATACATTTTGAAAATGAAAACGATAATGGAAATAAATTTTACTCTATAAGAATTTTTTTTTCCGCCAAACTTCTTATGCTCATTTTGACACCTCTATATAACTATTTTTAAGAGAATATCACAGAATCTAACCCGATAGTGGAATATTACCATAAAGAAATGGTTTCATTGCCATTATTGGCATTTAGTGTTTTACCATAAAGAAATACTACCAAAAAAGCCTGGGGACAAAAATATGGCCTCCTGCTCTATTCATTTGCCATTCTTGTCGTTTTACCATACAGAAAAATACAAATATTTTTTTTCACCTGGCTTTTTTGTTTTCTTACACCAAATTGATATAATTAAAATACACTCTTTTCTTTTCTTTTTCACAAAAGGCATTGTGTTAAACTCACCCACTGAGACCAGTGGAATGACAATCTATAAGAAAATAAAGTTACAATTGAAGCATGTGTTCCATCTCAACTAAAAGTCTAAGTTCATAGTTGGATTGTACATTAATGGTTATATGCTTAACACGCTCCCTCACGTGTGCGGTGGGTTCCATGACCTTTGGTCTGGCTCTCATACTTTGAAGCATGTGCTCCATCTCAACTAAAAGTCTAAGCTCATAGTTAGATTGCACATTAATGGATATATGCTCAACAGTTACGTTTTTAACTATAACATTTAGCATAGTGATAAACGTTTGATCTTAACAGCAGGTATCAGAACCAGGTTTTGGCGAAATCTGAAACTTTTTTTTGATACGTGTTCTCAGGTTCTGAAGGCTTTTGTCCATGGAGATGGGAACCTATTGAAGAATCACCCAGAGCTCCAAGAATCTTTGGTTTGGGTTTACTTCCACTCCATCATCCAAGAGTTCAACAGGGTAGAGTGCTGGGGCCCACTCAAGGAAGCTGCGTCTCCTCCTCCTCCACCTCCACAGCCGTCCATCGCCGCTGATGGCGGCACATCAGGCGGGATTGGGACCCACACCGAGAAGAGAAGTTTGCTAAGCAACTGGGAAATACCACAGCCGTGTCACGACACGTGTAGCTGTTGCTTTCCGTCCACAACTTCCATTCCTTGGACGGCGTCGTCTTATTCGTCGCGTGCTCCTTTGGGGCCTCTTGGAACCAACGACCCCATTAAATTCAGATAATATTTTGAGATTACCAGGCGAATTGTATTAGCCCATCTTGCGTGGTAAACTCAAGTATATAAAAATAAATAAAATTTATTCATTTTAATTTTAATTCCAATTCGTGTCCAGTGTCATTCACCTATTACATTTTTCTCTTTGAGCTAATGACCGATTTGATCACTTAATTATAGCGAAATTAACGATTTGGTCATCGACTATCATCCTTACCAAATTAAGTCTTCATTTTGAAAATCTTAACAAAATTTGTCTTCCGTTGTCATCCTACGACTCAAATTGACTAGAGGATGAAATTATATAAAATTTTTAAAGTTGAGGACTTAATTTGATAAGGATGGTAGTTGATGACCAAATAAATAATTTCGCTATAGTCAATGGACCAAATCAGTTATTCACTCTTTTTTCTTTTTCTTTTGTTTTTTTAAAAAAATCTCGACTTAGAAGTGAACCGAATTCAATCCCTACTTTTTTTAAAAAAAATAAAAATAAATAAATAAATAAAATCAATCCCTACTACTAAAAAGGTAGGTAAAAACCCAACAGGGTAGTTCAAGTGGCAAATGAGCTCTCTTTGTCGGGGAGAATTTTGGGATAACCAGCAAACCGGGTGGACTTGGACCGTTAAACGGATAGAGAAAGACCCGGACCACAATGTGTGGTTGATACCAAAAAAAAAATGGGTAGGTAAAATTTAACCGCATTATATATGGAAAATACTTTCTTCCCCCTAAATTTTACCTCTAATATTTTTTCTCTGGTGTGACTTACATTTATTTGGTGCTATGAATTGGTTGGGCAACCACTTATTAAAAATAAAATTTAGTTATCAATTAGATGTTATCATGTCATGAGGAATTGGATTAGAGGGAAACAATATAAGGGTCTCTAGCATCACTCATTATATATAAGTTCAAAGTAGTCTATAAATTTTATATTTATTTGGATGTTCAATATTATAATATTTAATTAAAAATCATCTAATAAAAAGAATTATTTGGATGGCTTAAGGCGATGAATGAGGAGATTCATGTCATTGAAAAAAATGATACATGAAAGTTAATAGAATTACCTCCCAAAAAGAAGCCAATTGGAGTAAAGTGCGTTTACAGAATGAAATACAAGTCAAATAGAGAAATTGATCGTTTAAGGAATCGTTAGTAGAAAAGTGTTACAAGTAGAAATCATATATTGATTATTTTGAGGTTTCTTCTCTAGTAAGTAGACTTGATACAGTTTGAATGGTTATTTCTCTTGCTGCTCAAAATAATTGGAAATTGCATTAAATGGATGTCAAGTCTGCTTTTTTGAAGAATAAATATATGTCAAGCAACTTACAGATCGAGTTTGTGAAGAAAGAAGAGGAAAATAAAATTTACATATTAAGAAAAGCTTCATATGGCTTAAAACATGGTGCCTAGAGTATGGTATAATTGCATTGACTCTTATTTTATTGACAATGATTTTATGAGATGTGCTCATGAGCATACGCTATAGGTCAAATGCACAGATCCTAGAGATATTATAATCTATATATATTTTGATGATTTGATTTTTATTGAAAACAACTTGGAACTAATCTCATAATTCAATGAGGCACTCATTAAGAGATTTGAAATGACTAATATGAGCCTTATGTGTTGCTTTTCTGGTCTTGAAGTTGTCCAAATAGATGGTGGAATTCTTATATCACAAAAGAAATATGCTATTGATATTTTGAAAAAGTTCAAAATGGAAAACTCCAAACTAGTTACAACTTCGGTATATAGCTGAAAAGTTGAAGGGTGTCCAAAGATGAGTGTGGTAAGAATGTGAATGTTACAACTTATAAAAGCTTAACTGAGAGTTTATGGCCAATATATGGTGGCTACAAGACCAGATATTTCTTTTTTTGAGTTGGAATACTTAGCAGATTCATGGAGGAACCAAAAGAATCACACAGCAAAGAGAATTCTGAGATATGTCAAAGGTACGAGTATTGATTGAATTTAATTTTATGTACTCTACTAATGAAGTTGTGAAACTTGTTGGATAAATAGACAGTTATTGGACTAGAGATGTTGAGACCATAAAAAGTACATCTAGATACGCTTTCTATCTTTGTTCTGCTATATTTTCTTAGTGTTCAAAGAAGCAGCAGATTGTAGCACTTTCAACAGCAGAGGCAGAATACACTGCAGCAACAAATTGTGCTACTCAAGCAATTTGGGTGAGGAGAATTTTAGAGTTTTTCCAACACAAGTAGGAAGCACCTACAAATATTTTTTGTGACAACAAGTTTGCAATTTTGTTATCCAAAATCTTGTATTTCATGGTAGCAGCAAATGCATTGATATCAAGTATCACAAAATCATAGAGTTGACTGCTAAAAAAGAAATCAACATTGAGTATTGCTCGAGTGAATGTCAAGTTGTAGATATCTTTATGAAGTCGTTGAAGACAAAAATCATTTCTCAAATGGAAGAATACAATTGAAATGGTTAAATTTTCGACTTGGTTTAAGAGAGACAATGTTATAATAATATTATTATTAGAGTTAATGCGTCATATGGGGTCCTCTGAGTAGAGTGATTTTGTCACGTTTAGTCCTAAACTTTTAAATTGACCACATGTGTTTCTTCAAATTCTAAATTGTTACCATCCATGATCCAAGTTAACCACCCATGGTCTTTCAACTTTCAAAATTTAACCAGTTGTGGTCATCCTGGAAGGACCATGACTGATTAAAATTTGATAGTTGAAGGATGATGGATGGTTAACTTGGACCACGGATAGTAACAATTTGAAAGTTAAAGAACCACATGTGGTCAATTTGAAAATTTAAGACTAAACGTGACAAAATCACTTACTCGAAAGATCCCAGATGGTATTAACTCATTATTATTATAACTAAACCAAGTCAAAAAGTTAGTGGGGTAGTGGTATTTGAAGTGGGTGAGTGAGGTGGTTGTTAGTGAAGTAATGGGTGTGGTGGCTAGAAAGTCACAATTCTAGTTTTGCTTCTACTACATACTATAAATAGCATGTATCACAACGCATTTTATATCATCATGAAGAAATAATAAACATTGTAAAGTCTTACTTTCGTTTCAATTCTTTTTCTCCTTTCAAATATGTTTTAGATGTATTATATTTTAATATATTTACATTTTTTAACGTCCCAATAAACATTGGAAAATTTCGACATCGTATATTGCAAATTTAATTTAGCAACAAGTGATTTTCTTATGACACACATATATATATATATGCATCAAAAAGCATGTCGAATACATTTGAAAAGTTTTGACATCATACACGATTTTTTTTTTTTTTTTATAATGAAGGCTTTAGACCATTAAATGAGATACTTGGAGAATTTAATGAGTAGTTTGGGAATTCTAAATTTACTAATCTAACATCTCTCATATTCATTAAAAAAAAATTTAAAAAAAAAATCTAAAAATTAAAAAGATTGTGTTTCCACTCAAACACAACATAAATTAAGATCATAAAAAACAGTACGTACACCTCAATGCTAATAAGATTCAATTTAACATTCTTTGTAAAAATTTAGATTTTGATAATTGTACTACATAACTCTGAATAAAAAAGATGGTGAACAAGTCCCCACAAGCCGGCCGGTAATTCAGTTGGTTTCTATGGAACAGATTGTGGGCAAGATGATATATCGATGGCGAACAAAAGGGATAATAATTGGCATTATTCATCGCCGGCGCGGCCTCCATTAATGAAAGTTGACGGTGGCCTGGTAAGTCATTCCAGCATTCCAATTTGATGGTGCAACATTGTATGCTACAATAGTTTCATGTGTTGTGTAGGAAGTTAGCTTGAAAGAAAGGGTTTGGCCACCAAGGGCTGAAAATGCTTGGTAAGAAGCCCCCCAATTGTGGCTCATACTTATCCACCCTGTCTTGCTTCCCTTCACCCACACTCCGGCGATGTCACCGCCGCCGGCCACGTTCATCACGTACACCAACAGCCAGTACCCGTTCCCTTGGATGCTGAACTTCAGACCTCCCTTCCTGGCACATGGAACTCTACACCAACCAAACCCAACATTTTAATTAGCATGCAACATATATAAGGAGTGTTTGGTAAATGGTTCTTAGTTCTGATTGGGTTAGTGGGTTAGTGGGTTTGACTAGTTGATAGCATTAGCTGATTGTAGAAAAGTGTTTGGTAAATTAGTTGTTAGCTGATTACATACAAAATGATTTTCTTAAAAAATTGATTGAAAAAGCTATTTTGAACAGTTTTTTGAATTTTTAACATTTTAGAGCACTAATTAAGTTATTACAAAAAGCTAATTAATTAATCAAACACTCATATTGATTGTTTAACCAAGTCAAACAGCTAAAAGTGATCAAATAAACCAAAATTGACTGATAGGCTAAGTATTTTACCAATCAGGTCATAGTTCATTAAACATGCTATATTAATGCCACCAGCAAAATTCAAGTGGTTACTTTTATTAGCATGTTAAAAATGATAATTGCACTGTTTTAGCAAAAGAGGAATCATCATTTTGGTCAACCAATTGTTAATGTAGCTTTTAGTTTTCAATTTCAACTAATTTGATCTTCAAATTGTTTAAAATTCGTTAATCAAACCCTTTGATGCTCAAATTGATGAAATTTTAAATATAGAGAAGTCACTATTTTGGTTCCTTTGAAGGTTTAATTGACGAAATTTTAAACAATTTGAGAATCAAATTAGTTGGAATTAAAAACTAGAGATTATATTGACAATTGAGGGACCAAAATGGTCATTTTCCTTTAACAAATTTAAGGTTTTATTTGAAATATTTTTAATTAGAAAATCTAATTGCATTTTGATATATAGTTGGGAGATTTATTTGACTTTTTTCATATTTATCCTTGGAAAAATGTTAACTTCATACCTGCTACAAACTCAAAGTCTACCTTTTGCTTTGAGGTTGTACCAGATATAAAGAGGCATGACATTGATCAGCACGGAGAATTGTGTGCGCGTTAAAAGTTATATAATGAAAACTACAAGATTATCCCAAAAAAAAAAAAAAAAAAGTTTAAGAATTTTAATTTGAAAAGGTTTCTATGTTTTAGGAGTTCCTTTTAATTGGTAGATTATAATGTAA